GACCCTAAGTTCTCGGTAGCCCCTCTACGGTATATGTTCTATTTTAGGGCTTAGCTAGCTTACACTAGCACCATTATCCAAGCAACAGCTGTGAAGGAAGAGTCGAAATAAATCCATAAGATAGTGAAATAGAACATAAAACCTGATTTTAAGGTGTACTTTTTGATAGTACCTTTGTTTAATAGAAGCTTCCTGGTCTTCTTTGGTAAGACTTCATCGTGAAGATAGCCAAATAAGAATTATAGAAAGCATGAGCTTGATCTTTGCCTAACTAGGGCGAGATAAATAGCTGGATTTTGCAATTAAAACGTGAGCTGATTCTGATCTTTCCGAAAATTGCTTATAGTAGTTACTAGTTAATAACCAGATTAGAGATAAAACTAGCTTCGTTATCAACTACTTATTGAATTTAGTATTCTCATTGATATAATTAATCGTTCTTCTAAGCTAGACTCTGCTAGTGCTTCTTTGCTAGCTGGAAGAATCGAATAGAGGTCTGTACAGTGAAGGTTCGATAATTTTCTAGAGGCAATAATAACTCGTCTCTACTTTTGGACTTATACTTTAGCGGGCAGGCTGCCTTTGACGAGTGATTTCGTATTTATAAAGATGAATGTTGTTTGGGCAGACGGCTTTAAATTTTCAATGTCGTCACTAGCGACCTTAGTGATGATTAGTAACCTATGACAAACAGCTTTCTTTGGTTTAAGCTAAAACTAAAAAGTAGGCTTTAGTATTTATTTCACTCCAGAGGAACGACCACTACAGTACGTGGTAAAAATGGGTGCCTTAAAAAAAGAAATAGCGATCAGAGAGGACGTTTACACAGGAGAGTTTGTAGTGATATTGACCCATCTTGATCGATACTAGCCCGCACGGTCCGAAAGGATAATTCTTAATAATGTTAAATCCGGTCGTTAGCTTACTAGTTTATGCTGCCTACTTTTTGGTCCTGGTGCTAATTTATCTTTAGGTCCTGTAGATTCCTTGAAACTAACTTAGAATTGGTGACAATGACTAAGTTGATATAATACAAGTGACTTCTGTACTAATCGCGTACGAAGGCTAAGGTCATCCTGATTTACCTAATTTGGGGCATAGTTAATAGCAATATTTGCACCGAATCTAGGTGCCTGGTAGCCTTTGGTTCCGCCTTTACAAGGGCATTCCCGCTTGAAGTTACAAAAATCTTTATTCGAGATTAGGTTATAGTATTAGAATCTATCCTTGTAACCCTTCTTCCCTTAATTTATTATCGATGAAGTTGGTTATTTGGATGCTTACCTGTACGGTGCATCGCTTAAAAAAAATAGTTGAAAACTGGTTTCTTTTTTTGGGTAATAACACTAGCAAACCAGAAAAAGGGTTATCTCGGATCACCAAGGTTTTAAAAATCTCGTATAGGTAATACGGCATTTCACCGCAGTGTCCATGTTCTCGAATGTACCCGCGCTTTTTAATTGTTTACTTTGTATCTTTATATCTTTTTAACGCTTCTCTTGAGCGGGCCTCCTTGGCTATGGGTATGACCACAGCGATTTTAGACTATTCCAGTCTCTTTAAAGTTAAGCTTTAAGGTTTTAACTGTGTAAATGTTTCTTATAGTGTTTAGAACTGCTGGTGGTTCATATCTTGAGAACATCGTAATAGCACAGTACACTCTATAGTAGAGCAAGGTTTGTTCTTTGTCCTTAGGCTACTAACGTGAAGCAGTCAAAAAGATAGGCCCTATAATTAAATTAAGTGGCCTTATGGACTGGTAGTTTCCATCGAACTGCATGAAGCTGTCATGGAGCTATTTCACTTTTGACACGCTCCGAAACGTTGGATGGCCATCCAAGGGTTGATTCTTCCTTAAAGTAGGGACGAAAGTTCAGTATTGACTCGGTTAATAACCCTCTATAATAAATTGCTTTCTTTGACTTTAGCTATATAAAAGTAAGCTATTAAATTCTTAACTTTTACCATAACTTTAAAGGAATACTTACAAACAGGGGACTATGACTATGGTATCGTGCTTTACTGATTAAGTTTGAGGGCAATAAAAAAACCTTAGAGAGGTCTAAGTTGCTTGACGCACTGTTCGTAAGATTTGCCCTTAAAAATGGTAAGCCCCCTCCCTAGGGAAGAGATTTTCGTCAGGTTCTTAATTCCCTATAAAAGGTTTAGGATGTATTATGTTTCAAGTTTAACTTGAGTTTGTTCATTATAAATTCCAGATATAGTGCTCTGTGCTAGGCTTAGACCGCTTTCCTTTCGTCTCTTGATGCTACTAATTATATATTAGCAGGATTGCATCCGCCTTTGATCTGTGTATTAATTAAGATTCTGGGCTGGGCCTTCATTGTATCTATCTTATGTTGATGAGAGGTATCTGGCATGGGCTAAGTTAAGAAAAGTAATGCATCTTAACAGAAGTTAATATTTGTGGACGAAAGCCATGAATGTACAGTATTCTATCTCACATAGCTAAGAGACTTTCATACACGAGTATCCTTAAATAGCACTATTGATATTAATTCTTGGGGTTGAAAAAATAGTTGGTCACTAGTTCTGTTAAATTAATGCTTTATATTTTTATACTAATTTAATAACGTAGCGAGAGGTTATTTCTACGTACTAGTATGTTTTGTTATGATTGAGCAAATAGTGCTTACTTCTCATTAGTGATGCAGTCGTAGTATAGTAGTATATAAAGGACACTTATACATTAATCTTAGTTACCAGTGTATACTATATTAGTCCCCTACTTTGCTTTATAAAACATTGTGATGAACTATCATTTCTAGAGCGCTAGTTCGTTATTATGTTCTATTAAAGTAGAACTTTGCTGTAGTTTATTTAATAATACCTCCATATGCTTCGGAGAAACTATTGTTGTGTAAGTAACGTGACAACTATTTTGAAACTTTATTAATATAATAAAAAAACTTTGCGTTCAAAGTCCCAAGTAGTTTAGTGATAAAGTATTAAACTGTTATAATCTTAAAGGGAGCTTCAGTTAACCACTGGTTGGCCATCCACTGAGCTACATCATTCTACCATGAAGTATTAAGAGTTAATCTGGCAATACCTGATTGACATTGTCTAATTTTATAGAGTAGCTTCCTTTCTAGGCTACAATTAAAAATTCTTAAGTGTCAGTGTAATTAGGTCAGTGAAATTCTGATATGACTATTGCGTGCGTACTAGGTTAAAACTCGGTAGGATGGTAATAACTAGCTAACGAGGAAGTCCTCAATCAAAAATACTAAGGCAGTTCCCCTATTACATAACAAGTATACAATTAGGAAAGTTAATTCTTGAGATCCCTTTAAATGGCCAAAAAAAAGCTCCTCAAGAATCTGCAAAGATGTCTAATGGCTTATGCACGGTTCGAGAACAAAGTCCTTTCCTTAGACAAGAGGGATCCTATGATTTACTTAGAATAATGCATACTTTATTTTCATAAACAATACCTTTCCAAATCGCTACCCTAATATGGTAGTTTAATTTAACATTCTTAACTAACGTTACTAGATACCTAAGCTCCTTGGACGCTTTTTTAAACCTTGGTTACCAGTCTAGATAGGATGCGTGGTCTGCAAGGCTCCTCGACTTGGATAATTCATTGCTAGTGAAGAGAGCCGTTTTCCAGTATAAGAATTTATTCATAAAGTGGAATGATTGGTTCTTCTAAACTATGATAGATAATTAGTCTAAACTTAGATCGGAATTCCTTCATTATCTGACTTGGTTGAAGTTCCTATTGTAATGTATTAAAATTACCAGGTAGGAACTACCTTGTTAAGTTGTTACAGAGGTCTCACTTTCTGAAGAATTGATCGGAACATTAAAAAGTTGAAATAAATGAAATGATATTCAACGTTCCTATGGGATTATTCAAATTATTTATATGGATTAACCTGTTTTTCAGTTACTTTAAACTTAAGTTATTCTTTCATCTTTAACTAATAATTAATATAAAGTTGTTCGATAGTAACCTTATCGCCTGTTTTAATAAGTTATTCTCAGCAAAGAAGTTGCACTTAATCAAGTAGGAAGGAAAGAATCTCTATGTTGCTCGTTCCCTTTGTTTGTTATTTAGTAAGTGATGATAGTGAGAGTTCTCAGATTTCGCCATTGTACTTACTCAAGCCAGGTTAAAGACAACTAGCTAAGTTTACTGTGGCTCCTAACGAGGACCATAGATAAGGACACCCTTTATTCGCGAACTAAACTAACTGCAGATGAGTCTACGCTATAAATTAGTACCAGAACTGACTTTAAAACCTTGAGAGGCTGGTAAGGACTAGAAGGATGGTAAAATTTTGTTAACCTTCCGAGTTTCCAACTTAATTAACTAAGCCGGGCCTCCCACGTGGAAAGACCAAAGCATTAAAAAAGCCACGTGTGCTACCAACTTAAAAAACTCGTATACTTAAAATTTTTGTAGTATTAATGATTATAAAAAAGTAAAACTAAAAAGAACAGCGTAGTATATAAAGCATATATATTTATTATTATGAAGTGTTTATGAAGAGATATTAAAGAACTATTATTGAATTTATTATTTATATAATTTCTAAATTTATTGGGATAATAATTTTTATAAAATGGGTAAAGAAGAAAAAGATCTGGAAAGGTTTTTCTTTATAAAATACTCCCTTACTAATAATTATAAATTTCTAATTAAAAGAAAAAAGAAAGAACTTTTGAAACTTCTAGAAACTCCTGAAGAAAAAAGAGCCAGAAGGTTGGCTAAAAAGCTAGCTAAACGTAAACAACTTTCAGGAAATGTGGATGGGTTTTTTTATTTTTTATATTGTATTAAAAATTTTTGTTAACTTAATAGAAATTTGTATATAGTTAAATTTTTATTTTACTACAATAAATATATTATATCCATATAAAGCCTTGAAGAGACTATCGGCGGCTACAGCAATCTTAACAATCCCTTCGGTGATACGCGTTTAATGAAGAAATTTGTTTGGGAAAAAAAAATGGAATTGGACAAAAAAAAATATAATTTAAGCGATAAACAACTTGAAATTTTGGAGGCAGAACGTTTAATAAAAAATAAAGTGACAATTAAATATTTATATATTTATTATAATCAATTTTAATCTTAAAGCATATCTATAATTTCTATTATTATTAGGAATAGTATAATTGTTACTAGGGTTTTTTCTTTAAACTTTTTTATTACTCAATAGTTTGAATAAAACTTTAATATAATAATTAATTTTAAAAATTTTATTTAATGTTTTACTTTCATATTAAGTATTAATTTCTCTCAAATTTTTTTAATTTTTTTTTTATAAGTTATTAATTTAATTTTTATTTAAAATAAATTTATTTTATATAAAACAGTTTTATTAACTTAATTATCTTTGCTTATTAGCTCCAATTTTAGTTTTTCGTTTGTAACTATAATTTTTCTAGCTTTTTTATAATTCTTTATTAGTTTGTTTCTATATATATATTTTTAAATTAAAAATAAGGAAGTTTATATTCTTATATATATTTTATAAAATAATTTTTTAAAAAATAAAATTATTTTGTTTTATAAATTAATAGTTATCCAATTTATAAGTTTTTTTTCTGCTTAAAAGTAAGTTATATATTTGATTTCATCCTTAACTTTTATTAGTATAAATTTTTATTTACAAGAATTAAAAAATTTTTTAAATTATGATAAATTTTTGTTATAATTACAATTTTTTAGAGATTTATTTCTACTAAATAGTAATTTAATTTTTTTTAATGGGTTTTTAAAGGCTGAACTTGAACGCGTAAAAGAAAGAAGAGTTGAAAGAGAACGAGAAATGTTTGAAGCCGAAAAAGAAAAAGTTTATTTTTTGTATAAATTGCTATACTTAATTTTTTAATTAACAATTTTGATTTTTTGTAATTTTTTTTAATTTTTTTTTAATTTATTTAAAATTTATTTAGATTAAATTTTTAATTTTATTTATTTTAAGGATGTTTTTGAATAATAATAAGTATTTAATTTTATTATAGATTTTAGTTTCGAATTTACTTCTTTTTTACTAATTTTTAAAATTTAACTTTTATTTGTAAACTAAGTTTTTTGAAATTTCTTTTTATATTTCTTATTCTTAAAATTTATTGTTATTTTTTTCTTTTTTAATTTATTATTAATTAATTTAAATATTAAAATTTTTTTTGTTTAATTTACTTTTATTTTTATTAATTTTTATAATTTATTATAATATACTTTATTCCTTTTGTTATTTCTGATTTGTTTTTAGTTATTTTTATTTTCTAATAAAAATATATTTTATTTGGTTTATTTTTTTTTGAATTTAATTATTATTAAATAATATTTTCAGTATTTTTTTAATTTTTACGGAATTTTTAAGAAATTTATAAATATTTTTAATTTCTTTTTCTGTTAAGCAATTTCAGTTTAAAGTTTATTAATTTGGATTGACCATAATAATTATAGTTTCAAATCTAAGAAAATTTATTTTCGACTTGAATTCTATTTCTGCAAGTATTATTATAATTTTAATTATTAATTTAGTAACAGAATTATATAAGTCACTTTTAATGATTATTAATTTATAAGTAGAGGTTTTTTATTTATTTTAAATTTAATTTTTTTCAAAGGTAATAAAAATATATAAAATTAGTTTTAATTATTTGATCTAATATTATAAATTAGTTTTGATTGAGATTCTCTTTTTGCTTAGAAATTTTTTAAATAGAAATACTACTTTTTTATATTAAAAAATTTATAGTTTTTTCGAAATTTATTGTAATTACTAAATTTTTTAAAATTTTTATTGATTTATTTTTTTGTAAAGTATACATTTTGTTTTAAAATTTTTCCAAAACATAATTTTTTTAAATTAACAAATTTTCCATTAATTTTAATTTTAATAATATTTTTATACATCTTGAAAATTTTATTATTTAATTTTTTTAAATTTTAGTAAAATTTATTTATTAATTTTAGTAATTTTTGTAATGAATTTTTAATAATAAAATTTACTATTTAAAAAAATTCCATATATATATTAATTTTTATTTTTATTAGTAGTTTTTAAGTACTTGTTATATTATTTTTAAAATTTTATTTTTTGTTTTCCTAAAGAAAATTTTATTATTTTAAAGTTTATACTATTATTTTTGATTTTTAAAATGTTTTGTATCATTTATATTAACTTATTATATAAATTTTATTTTTTTTTATTTTCTTGAAGGTCATTAATATTTTTTTGGATTATTAGAATGTTTTGTATTATATAAATTTCAATATATAATTTTTATATTTATTAATAATTTTTTTATATATTCATTTTTTTATTTAAATTTTTTTAGCGTTAATAAAATTTAATATTGATTAATAGAACTATTTATATATTAACAAACTTTTATATATTAATTTTAATTTTAAAAATTTTTATAAAGTTAATATTTATTTCTGATTATAAGATTTTTTTTATATAATATTGAAATTATATTAACAAACTTTCTATATTTTTTTCTAATTTTTTTAAAGTTAATAAAATTTATTTTTGGTTATTAGAATGTTTTGTAATAATATTCATTTCATGATAAAGCTTACAAAATTTTATATTTTTTATTTTAATTTACAATATTTTTAAGTATTTTATTTTAATATTTTTTAAAAAAAATTTATTAGAATTTTTAAAAATTAATAAAAATTTATTTTTGATTATTAGAATTTTTTTTAGTAATATTTATTTATTAAAAAAAATATTTATATTCACAAATTTTGTTTTTATTAAATTTTTTTCAAGTATTTTAATTTAATTTATATATAGTTAATAAATTTTATTTATATTATTATATTTTATAATTATTTTTATTTAACAATTATTATTGATTTATATTATTCTCATAATAATTTTATATGTAAGTTTATTATATTAACAAATTTTAAAATATGTTTATTATTATTGTAAATAAATTTTTCAAGTAAATTTTTTTAATTTTTAAATCGTTATTTTTGATTTTTAGTATATTTAATAATTTATTATAGTAAAACTTATTATTTTAACAAATTCAAAAATGATCATTGTTATTATTAAATTTATTTGTATATTTTATAATTTATATATGATTTAAGTATATTCGTTTATAATATATAATAAAGTTTAATATATTAACAAATGTTTTATAAAATTTTTATTTTTATAAGTAATGAATTATCTTTATAGAAATTTGGCTTTATTAATTAATTTTTTTTTTAGATTTTTAGTACATTTTATAACAATTTTATTAGAAAGTTTATTATAATTGAAAATTTTCTAATTTTTAATTTTATTTATTAATTTTATTTAAGCTTACTAGTATTTTAAATTTTTTAAAAATTTATTATAGGTTTTTAGTATATTTTATAATAATTTTTAATAAAGTTTATTATAATAACAAATTTTGAAATATATTTTTTGTTATATTATTATTAATTTTATTAGAATATATTGATTTTACTTAAAATATTTTTAATTATTTCTATATTAAAATTAACAATATTTTTTGATTTATAGTATTTATAATAATTTATAAAGTAATTTGCTATATTAACTTGTTTTAAGATATTTTTATTAGAATTATTATTATTTTCTTAATAAATTTAACAATAATTTATTATATAATTTTAATAGCATATATTCAAATATATTATCATAGTTTATTAACAGTTTTATTCAATTTTATTAATTTAAATTTAAAAATATTTATTTTTGATTTTTAGTATAATTTTTAATAATTTATAATAAAGTTTATTATAATAACAAATTTTCAAATAATTTTAATTAAGTATATAAATTTTTTTTTAATTTTTCAGAATTTTATTTTTGACTTTTAGTATATTTTATAATTACATTAATATATATACAAATTTCCAATTATTTTTTTTGTTATTAATAATTTTCCTTGAGTATGTAAATTTAACTTAATTTTTTTTCTAATTTTAAAAATGTACTTTTGATTTTTAGTAAATTTGTAATGTTATATAATAAAGTTTATTATAGTTACAAGTTTTTATATATTTTTTTAATTTTTGTTAATATTAATTTTACATACAAAACTTTAATTTAATTTATTAAATAAACTTAATAAATTTATTTTTAATTGTTAATTTATATTAAAAGTTTTTTTTATATTATATTTTGGCTATTTTAGTATTACTTTTGCTAATTATTATTTGTACAGACCAGACAAGCACGGGAAAGAGAAGAACTGAATATGCTTGGCTGGGAAAGTAAAGAAGAGCTTGTAAGAAATTATTATTATTATTAAATTTAATTTTTTTATTATATTATTTAAATTTGACAGTGGAAGTGTTATATAATTATAATATAAGCAATAGAAACCTAAGGAACTTTGTATTTAATAACTTTTTTTTTATTACTATTTTTCATTATAAAACTTTTTATAAAAGTGATAATATGAAAGAATTCATAACTTTAATACATAATTATTAATATAAATAAATTAACTATAATAATGAAATAATATTAATTAATGGAAGTAATTTTTTTATTTTTATAATGAACAACAAACTTTTATTATATAAACTTTTTATGACAGAAAGTTAATAGAAATATATAAATGAATGAAACATGATTTTCTATTTTATTGTAAACTAAAGGAAATAATTTTTTAAACTTTCATTATATAAATTTTTTTAAAAAAATAAAATTCACTAAAATAAATAACTATAAATAACATTTTATTTATTTTATAACTTTTATTATAAAAATTCTTAAAGATATTCAAGTTTTAACGATTAATTTATAAATATATGATATTTAAGAATATATATATTAAAATTTTTTTTAACTTTTATTATATAAAGAAACTAAGTTATTGGTTGATTTTTTAAAATACAATATTTTTATTTTTTCTTTTTTATTGTTTACATATAGTTCGCTTGATTTATTTTTATTTCCTTGTCTTTGGCTCGTGATAAGACCACACTTTTTGTTTGTATATTTTATTGCTTTAGTTCTCTTAGTATTGCATCTTTATTTTTATTGGCTAATAACAATTTATTATTCGTCCTTTTTTCAATAACATAATGGTACTTTTTTTTTTGGGTAAAATTATTATTATTAATCTTTTCATTAATAGTATTATTTTTGTTATTATTATTATTTGAGAGTTTACATTAAATTAGTTCCATATTGAACAAGCCAAAATCCGAAGCCGGATTCGTTTTGAGGCTGGAAGAGCAAAACCAATCGATATTCTCGTTAAATATATCGAGACCAATCAAAAAGAAGATGATGTTGATGTTTGTGAACCTTATAAGATTTTTAATGTAAATATATTATGATTTATTAAGAAAACCTTACGTTTTTTATATTGTTTTGACCTTTTTTTATATGAAATATTGTTTTATATTATTTTATTAAAAAATGATATTCTTTTTAGGATCTGAACCTTATTGATACGGAAGACTTGCTAGCAGATATAAAACTTTATTTAACTTTTGCTGAAAATATTGAATACTGGACGGTAATAATAATAATAAGTGGTGTTGGCGCTTTTTTTATTATATAATATTAACGAAATTAGTAAAGATTGTCATTAAGTAGAATTAGAAATTTTTGGGCCAATCAAGTATGTAAGGAGTAACTTTTAACCAATAAGATTTTGTTTTAAAGGATTTAAAACTTCTATGCGAGCATCGACTTGAAGAAGTAAAAAGGGACGCGTTACTTCGTGATCCAACTAGTTAATAATAATAATAATATTTTTATTATCTTTTTTACTTATTACTATTTATAATTAACTATTATTATTGTTTACATAGAAGTTGTTTTAAAATAATATAAAGTATATAACTATAATATTACGTATTTAGTGATTATTGTTATTAAAACAATTAAAATTGTACAATAATTGCAAAATTAATTTTATTATTATTTATTTTTTTATATTATGGTAAATATTGTTATTCGTTAAAGAAGTAATATAAACAACAACTTGAATATATAATTTTGTTAAACAATAATTATTTTTATATTTTGTTTCTAACAATTTTATTATAAAAAATCAAAAATAATTTTTATTTAATTTTAACTTTTGTTATTATTATCAAAGCAATCTAAAAATATTTGAAATATAATTTTTTATTATAATTTTGACTTTTATTATTATTATTTTGAAAACTATATAAAATTTTATTATTTAAATTTCAACTTTTATTATTATTTTTAAAATAATTGTAAATGTTATTATATAAATAATATTAATATTATTATATGAATTTTTTTATTATTATAATTATTATGTTGGGTTTGACTATAATTTTAACAATTTTTATTTGGTTATAATTTTTTTATAAACAAATTGGTATATTTATATTTACATTTTATAAATTATTTTTAATAATTTATTATGTTTTTTATTATTTATGGGAGAACTTATTTTATTACTAAAGTAATTAAAAAACATAATTTTTTATATAATTATTTTTTCTGGAATAATTATTAACAAAACTTTTTAAATGTAAAATTATTATTATCTGAATTTAATTAAACTAATTTTCTTTTTCTTTGGTAGAATTTATTATTACTACTAGTACAATTTCAAATTTTTTTAACGATTATTATTATTGGTAATAGTACTTTCATAATAATTACTAAAATAATATGAAATATATAATTTATTTTTATATTACTTATTTATAATAATAATTTAAATAACATTTAAATTGTTATATGAATTTTTTTGTAACAATTATTATGAAATAAATATAAATTATTTATTAGTATTAATTATTTTTGGTGTATTTATGATTTTTAAAACAGTTTCAAATAATTTATTATATAAATTTTTGAAAAAAATTATTATATTTAATGTTTATTTTATTATTAGTTTATTTATTATTATTGCAATAATTATTAATTGTGGAGCACTTTTATTATAATTTTTTTTATTGTGGCTATTATTTTTATTATTATTTTTATTTTAGTTATACACTCATAATTATTAATAAAATAACTTCAAGTACTTATTTTATTATATTCATTTAATGATGATAAATATAAAAATATTACGATGATTTAATATAAAATATACAATTCATTATTATTTTATTACTTTTATTATGAAAATATTTTATTATATTACTTTTTTTATATACTTTTTTATTATTTATGGTGTTATTTTTATTGTTATTATTTTTAATATAATTTTAATGATTTTATTTATTATTATTATTATCAGAAAAAATAAAATACTTCATTTAGTATTATTTTTTAAAACAAAATAAAATATATTATTATAATTATGTTCATAATATTTTTTTTATTCATATATTTTTTATATTTTATTTCTTTTATTATAATATTTAATTTATTAAAATATTATTCCTTTATACAAGTTATCATTTAGTACTACTTTTATTATTATTAATATAATATTACGTTTATTATATATTTTATTATCATTAAAAGTTTTAAATATTATATTATTTTTTTATTATTATGATTATTATTATTTATTTTGTTGTTTAATTAATTTTTTTGTTATAATTATTATTTTTCGCTTATTATTATTACTTTTGTTTGTATTAAAATTTTGTTCTAACCAATCTTTTACCACAGATTATTATATTATTCTAGTTTTGTTGCGATTATTCTTAGTTACTCCTATACTTTTATTATAATAATTCTTATAACCATTATTAATTATTTTAATGATGATTACACTTTCGTTTTTATATTATCATTATTTAATTATTAATTATAACTTTTACTTTTTTTTACACTTTAATTATTATCATTGTTATCTTTATAATATTTAAACAATTTATATCTTTTATTACTATATTATTCAAACTAAATGTTTTTATAAAACCATCATAAATTTTAATTTATTCCATTTTATCACTAATAATACTTATTACTTTTATCGATACTTTTTATAATTTGTCAAAGAAATTATTTTTATTATTATAATTTTTATACTTACACTAATTTTCTTTTTATACTAATAATTTTTTCGTTGTTATATTATTATTAATTATTATTTTTACTCCTACCAACACTTTACTTATTATTAATTATATAATAAATATTCAAAAAATTTGTTATTATTTTATCTTTCAATTAATTAATTTTTTTATTAATTATAGTTATTTCCATCATCACTTCATTCATTAATGTTTTTTTAATTATTTTTTTATATATATCTTTTATTATTATTTTATTTAAACTAAATATATGGAATTACCAATAATAAGTTATTATTTTCTTGCTCTAATATTATTTATTTTATTTAATATTAATAATTATAATATTTATCATACCTGTTAACATTTTAATTATTATTATATAAACTAAGTTATTTATAAAATATTATTAATATTCAGTTTATTATTATATTAAATTTTTAAGGTATTAAAAAATAATATAAATTATGTAATATATAATATTTATATAATAATTATTATAGTTTTTATTATTATTTAATAATATTATTTTTTATGTATTATTGAAATATTATTACTATTATCTGAAGAATCTGCTCAGCATTGCCGAGCCTTTGATAGCGGTTTAAACGAATCAGTTCGCGAATCTGTTAAGACCATTTTAGATGGTTTATGATTATTATTATTGTTTGCATATCAATTTTCTTCTCCTTCTTATAGTTTTATATATTATTATATATATTGTATATTAATTATTACATAAAATTATTAAAATATTTTATTTATAATTATTATATATATCTTATATTTTCTATATATTAATTTATTATTATTTCTATAGGTATTAGATACTATATTTTTTATATATTTATATTCTTATCTAAACTTATCTATTATAATTATTATTAAAATAGTATACTATATTATTTATTATTTTTTATATAGTAATAGTATAATTATTAATTTTTATTATTTTTTTATTATTATTTTTTTATAGAGTATTATTTTAATTTTTAATATTTATTATTATTATAATTATTATCGATTAAAAATCTTCTATATAAGAATTATTCTTGTTACATATAGTAAATAATTTTTTATTTATTTATTTATTATTATTACTGTTATTATTTTGCGTATTATTATAATTTATATTATTATTGCTAATAAATTTCTTATAAATATTTACATATTATTATTTATTATTGGTTTATATAATTTTATATTCAAAAATTATTTTTAATCTAATCAATTTACATATTATTATTATTATAATTTTTATAACTATAAATTTTATTTATTATAAATAATTTGGTTATATATTAATATTATTATTGGTTATAAGTTTTACTTATTAATATTTATATTTAATTGTTTATTATTATATATTTTTATATTTTCTTTATATAATACTTTATTTAATTATTATATTATTTTATAAAATAATATTATTTACTGTAAATTTCACTTTATAACGTTAATATTATATTATATATCAAAATTTTTAATTATTATATATTTATATAATTTTTATATAAAAATATTATTTACTAAAAATTAATTTACATAGTAATATTATTACAATTTGTATAACTATAAATTTTTTTATTTTAATATTATTGTTATATATATTACAATATATTTTACTTTAAATTTTTATTTTATGTTTCATTTTATTATTATTTTATATAATTTACATATTTTTATTTCTTATTATTATTTTTATAAAATTATATTATTTTACTATAATTATAAGCTATATTGGTTATTATTTTTACAACTAAAACTTATTTTATAAATTTATTATTATTATAATTATTTAATAATATAATTTTATTAAAGTTATAAATTTTTTCACATAATAAATATTATTAATAATTTTATATGAGGTTATTACATTTTTTTTACTTATTATTATTGTTATATGTTAATATGATAATAAGTTTGAATTTTATCTTACAAATATTATTAAAAATATTCTGTATATTATATATACTTTATTGTTATTATTATATATAAATATAATCGCAATATAACAATTCGTTATTATAATTATAATTTCTTTTAAAAAATATTTATTTTGCTTGAAATATTTTTTATATTTATTATGTTTATAAAATCATTTATTATTATTATGATTTATTTTTATTTCTTATTTATATAATTTTTTATATATTATTTTAGTCCTTTTTATTTTATATTTTTTATTTATACTTTTATTATAAATTTTTTTATATTATTATTTTATAAATAAAAAAAATTTATTTTTTATTATAAAATTGTTTATTATTATTATTTATTATTTATTATATTTTATATACTAGGAATTTTTAATATTATAACATTTATTTATTATTATTAGCTAAAGGATTATTATATATTTTATATTTCAATATATAGTTATTCATTTTTATTGCTATATACTTTTTGAATTGTTTTGTTATATTATATATTATATATTCTCTATTATTTTTCTTTATGATAGTTATTTTTACATTTTAATAAAATAAATATGACAAAAATTTAGTTTATTATTATGATTATTATTACTTTTTTTAATAGAATAAGAATTTTCATATTTTATTAAATTATTAATATTTTCATATTTAATATAATTATTTACTTTTATATTATTTTATTTTTTATTGAATATTATTTTTTTTTTACTTATTATTTTTTTTAATTAAAAAAGTATTATAATATTTTTTTATAATATTAATTTATTTGTATTTAATATAATTATTTACTTTTATATTTTTAATATTTTTTTTACTTATTTTTTTTAGTAGAAAAAGAACTATTATATTTTATTACAAATTATTTATTATTTTATTTATTTACTTTTTATCTTTTTTTAATATTTTATATTTTAAATATTATTTATTCTTTAATATTATCTTTTTTTCCTTATTTTTTTTTTTTAGGAAAGGGAACGGGAGAGCTCAAAGCCTTAAAAAATTCTATAGAAAAAAAATTAGCATACGAAAGTGACCACGTTGACGTTGCTTATTGGACGGAATTGTTGAATCATTTGGATGTTCATATGGCAAAAGTTTGCTTTTATTATATTTTTTTTGCTTTTTATTACATTAAATTTATTTTCATATGTTTATATATATTTATTATAAATATATCATTTTATATTTACTTTAAATATATTTTATTTAATCCTATGAATTAATATATTTTATACAATCTATGTGTAATTATATTTATTTTTATTTATTTAACTGTTTTTATTATAAATATAATAATAATTTATTTTATAATTTCATATATATAACTTTATTTATTATTATTATTTTAAATAAGTTTATAGGTATCTATATTTATTTCTTCAGTTATTATAATTTTTTTATATTATATTCATATATACCTTCAAATATTTTATTTTTGAAAAATTTTAGTATATATATTTATATATATTTAGAATACCATGTAATATTGTTTTATTATGAAATAATAATTATATATACATAATTTTTAGTTACTATAAATATTTTGTATTCATATTCACTTTCAGATATTTTTATTTTTATTAATTTTTGTACAATTATATATTTTTTATATTTGTTATTTTTAGAATTTTTAGAATTATATTTATACAATAATATTTACATGTCATTATTATTATTTATAACTTTATTTCTTACTTTTTATGTTTTTTCAGGTATTTATTTATATTTATTACTATCATTAGTATTGATATTTCTACATTTATTATTTTATTTGTTATATAAATTTTTTATTATTTATTTGTAATAGTCTTCTACGTATTTTTGCTTTTTTTATAATTTAATGATAATTATTTCCTTGATATTTTATTATTATATTTATATTTTCAATTATAAAAAGTAAAATTTTTTTATTATATGAAATTTTTAGTGTTTATTATTATTTTTTATTTATATGCTTTATATTATTTTCAAACTTTTTTCTATTTTCATATTATTATAGTCCGTATATATTATTATAAGAAATATATTTAATATAAATTTTAATTATATTTAATAGTTTTTTTTATACATTTTTATATAATTAATAATTATTTTGTATAAATTTAATTTTTTTTTTGTTACTATTTTTTATGCTTTCGTTTATATCTATTTTATTGTAAATTATTATGATACATAATAATTACTTTTGTTTAAATTTAATAGTTATTTTTTATAGAATAACAATTTTATTTTTGTTTATTATATTTAAATTATATATTTATCTATAATTTTTTTTATATACTCAATAATTTTAATTATAATTATCTACTTTTTTATATTAATTTATTTATTATTGTTATATAATTTCTTTTTCTATTTAAATATTTATAATTAATATTGTTATATATTTCAACAATTCATTACATTTTTATTAAATTTATTATTATTTTCTTAATAGATTTATTATTTAATATAATTTTTTTTTAAAATATTATTATATTTACTTATAAAAATCTTTCTTATTATTTACATTAAAAAGATTATGAATATGTACTATATATTATTATTGTATTATATTATATTTTTTTATGTATATATTTATAAACTATTTATATATAATAGTTTATACATATTATATTTTATCATATATATATAATAGTTTATCTTTTTTACTTATTTCTTATTTTTTATAAGTATTTATTTATATTTAATAGTTTTTTTTGTATTATTAATTATTATAAACATATATTAATTTTTTTTATTTATATCTCATAGTTTAACTATATACATATTTTTTTATTGTTATTTTTGTTATAAATATTTATAGTTTATTTGTCTTATTTTTATATTTACTTATTAACAAATAAATAATTGTTACTTTTTATATTTATTATTGTGTATAATAGTTTTTAAAATTTATTTTTTGTTATTACTAATTTTTTAATACTTATTTATTTATTTATTATTTATATTTAATCGTTTATTTATTAATTTTTTTATCATTAGTGTACTTTATTATTTCTTTATAAGAGTTTATTAATATGTAGCAGTCTTTTTAATTATTATCTGTTAATAATATAAACGGTTAATTATATATTATTTTTAATACTTTTTTATATGTATTTAATTTTTATATAAAAGTTATATATATATAAATTTATTTATTTTATTATTTACATATATTTACTATTTATATGAGAGTTTGATACATAATTACTTATTTAATACTTCTCTATATGTATTTATTATTTATATTTAATTAATTATTCGCAATTTCATTTATATTTAATTATATAAAATTTGTTATTATTGCAAATTATTTTTTTATTTGGATATATTAATAATTTTATTATTTTGTATTATAGTATAAATTTCTTGTTAAATTGTTTTTTTTATAATTTTAAAATTTCAATGTCTTTTATTTTTTTTCATGTTATTGTTATTATTTCTTTTTAAGTTTTATTTATTATTTTTTTATGTTTAAATTTTTATTATTATTATATTATTATTAACATATTTTTTACAATATATTTTTTCTTTTTTTATTTATAAATATTTTCATATTTATATTTAACATTTTTTTACTACTTTATTTTTTAATATACTAATTTATGTATTTATATCTTTCCCTTTGTAATTATTTATTCTCTTTATTAATTATTTTTACTTATTATATTGTATATTCATATTTATTTATAGGCTAGACTCACTGAATTTCATGCGACTATTCTTCGCTCAAAAAAAAAATTTCTCGAGGCAGAGACCATGGAACAACTACCCGATCCCATTATTAAAGAAGAAAAAAATAATGAAATCGACCAACCTCGTGAGACTATTAAACCTATGGAACCCGAGACCCACGTGGTCGACGAGGTGGGTTGTAACTATTTTTCTTATTTTTTTTTAACAATATAATATAAAATTTTTATTATTTACGTTAGTAATGGTAGTAAATAATAATAATAAATAGTAAGTAAAATAAAGAGCATATGTTTCACTAAAATAAATAATAAAATAAACATGATTAAGTTAAAAATAATAATAAATAAAGAAGAAAAATATCAAGGGAAATGTAAATTTATATTATTATAATTATATTATAATTATCAAGAATATATAGAGAAAGAAATAGTGAAAGAAAACATACAAATAGTATAAACCAAGATAAGAGTAAAAGTTGCAAATTGATTTGCAGTACACAATTTATTAATTGAGCATCCTATTTAAGATATTAATTGCACCATTTTAGAAAATTAAATTTATATTGAGTGGTTTTAAAAATAAGCGAGTCCCGTTTATTTGAGTGAACGTAGCTTAAAGGTAGACGCAAATTTAGCATAAACAGGATGGTTTTACTGTTAATAACGCCTAAAGCGAATTTATAGTTACCAATAGTATAATTTGCTATGGGGTGAATATTTTTTATAATTGAAAAACATAACATAATTTAAAAAGAAATATTAATATTATTTTATTATCATTATTATTTCTAACAATATTATTTTCTTGTTATTATTATGTTAGAACAAAAGATAAACAATACAACCTTTATAATAAAAATAAGTTTATAACAAATTAAAAAAATTAAAAGTGAAACAATATAAATACTTCAATGAATACTAATGCAAGCTATTAACCTTTTTTTCTCGTGAATATATATTTTTAATCCGACTCGTTTTTGGTCTTCAGGTGGCTCGCCAGCACTTTGTTTTGCTGCGTTTTTTATAAGCTTTTTCTATAAAAGATGAATCTTTTTTGTTACTTCTTTAAACTTTAAAGTGCCTCTCTTGGGTCTAAAAAAAATTAATAGTTTAAAGTTTCATAATAAAAATAAACAGTAAATAATAATGGTAGTTCTGTCAATAAAACAAATAATATTAATAAATATAGTAATTATAAGAATATTAAATAATAATAGTAATAAATACTAAAACGAACATAATGCAAATTATAATTAATAATAATACTAACCAATTTGCATCATTATATGCTTAAATTGTTACGAATTTGTTTTTAAATTTAATTTTTATTATAATTTTTTATAAAGTTGGAAGTGCCTTTAGAAGTTGAAGGCATTTATAGCCCTCCTCTTTGCCCTTCAGAAGATGATGAGGTATTTTGATTATAATTCGTAATATATTCAAAATAATAATAAATCATTATAATTGACTAAAAATATTATAATAACCAATGAAATTTCATAAAAATTCCATTAAAAAGAGCTAAAAGTAGTAATATATATTCTTTAAAAATACAGTTACTATGTTGAATAGCCGGTTATAATTAATATAAGCAAAAATTATGTAATTTTTCTGTTTAGAAAAATATTCGTGATAATTAATATATAATGAATATAAAATTTTAATTAATGATTATAAACCAATAAAAATAGTGATATATATAAAATGCAACCAATAGATACTAATAAAAAGTTAAAATTTTTATATGAAAGGGTCAAAAATAAGCGGTAACTTTTGATAAAACAAGGTGCGCACGTGTCTGCGTTACAAATCTTATAGGTACCACGTATTTATCGCGTTTGGTTCATGTGACCTTCCACGTTTTACATCCTTTATATCACGTGATCAAAATTATATCTGTTTTGTTCCTCGTCGCGCTTCATTCTTTTTATATTTATAGCGAATGGTGAAGACAAAGAATTGTCAAAAATTTGAACAGTTTATTGTTATTATAAGGAAATTTTTTTTTTTTAAAACTTTTATTAAGATCCCTGTTATATTGATAAAATAATATAAAACTTTTTTTTATTTATAAAAAATACAATGGTTTTTATATAATTTATAAAGTTAAAAAGAATTTTAAAGTCTACACTAGTTTATTTTTTTAAAAAAAGTTGTCTATATATTATTTAAGTTTATTATAAGTAAAACAATAAGTTATATATAAAAAGTTTTATTATTTATTTTTAAATTTTATTATTTTTTATTAATATATATTAAATATTTAACTTTTTTATATCAATTTAGCTTTTTTGTAAATATAAATAAAAATTATTTTATTATTAATAAATTTAATTATTATTACTATTCTTATTTAGGTTATTACTTTAGAACAATTCGTAAAAAACCTGAAAATCCAAAGAAAAGCCGTCTGGGAAGCATTTTGCCGGAACTCCAACTCAATAGACGAATCATCAGACGCTCAGGTATTTAAAACGGTTGCTTTTGCTTTCACCTTACAAAACATATAAGTTGGTCCTGTTTATAATTAAGGGGGATGCGTGGGTTGAACGCCAGAGAAGTAAAGAGCTTGAGGAAGATGAAGAAGAATTTAGAGCAGAAATTCAACTTCCTCATCAAGTTTATTATTTAATTTTATTTTGTATTCTTTATTATTTTTATTATATGTTAAAAAAGGTATCAAATATTTATGAAATTTTTATTATAAGCTGTTATAAACTTAAAAATATAATAAATTTTTTATAAAAAATAATATTGAATTAGAAACCTTTTAAGAATTAATATAAAACTAAAATGTGAATAATATTATATTTGAAATAATAATTTTATTAAATAGTAATAAAAATTAATTTTTATAAATTGATTTTTTTTATACATTAAAATTCTTTTTATAAAAATAATAATAAAATAATTAATTTTAAAAAATTTGAAACTTGAAATATTTCTTATATAAAAAGTAAAAGATTATGAATATATTAATAAAATATAAAATTAATAACGTAAATTATAGAATTAATAAAAGAATTTAATTTTTTATTTTTATAACAATAAACAAATTTGAAGTTATTAAAAGAATATAATATTTTATTTCTATAACAATTATAAAAAACTATTAAATTTATAATATAAAAATAAATAACTAAAATGAACTTTACAGAATATTATTTATTAAGGAAATTTTTTATGTAAAGTTAATTTTTTTTATTTACTTTATTTATTATTTTTATTTATTATTAGTATTATTATACAATAGAATATTAAAAAACTTATTAAATAAATATCTAAAATATTTTATTATGTTGTATAAAAATAAATAATAATAAAATAAAACTTAAAGAAATTATTATATTAGAAAATATTTCTAAATAGTTAAATAATATTATTTATTATTATTATATATATCTTAATTTAATAATAACTTTATTCTTCACTATAATTTTTATTATATAATAATAATATACTAAACAAATTAAAAAAGAAATGGAAAAAAATGTCAAATTCATATATTATTATTTTTTAAATTTTTAAAAATAAAAATAGAACGACTTTTAAATAAAAATTTGTTATTAGAATATGTTTTAAAAAGTTAATTATTATTACTCATTATTATTATTTACTATTATTATAATAATATATTTATTTATTTTGAATATTTATATATTATTATAAAAGCTTTACTTTTGGTCTGATAAGTACCGCCCGCGGAAGCCACGTTACTTCAACCGCGTGCACACCGGCTTTGAGTGGACCAAGTATAACCGAACTCACTACGATTTTGACAATCCCCCCCCAAAAGTTGTGCAGGGCTATAAATTTAATGTACTCTTGTTTTTTAAGGCAGTTTATATTTATTCAAATACTATTATTATATTTTTTAGTATTATTATTTTACTTCCATTATATATTTTTTTCAAAATATTATACTTTTATTATTATTATATATTGTTTATTATTAAGCTTCTATAATCGGTCAGCTATTTGTGAAATTCATTATTATTTCATGCAAATTTTCGTAATTATTATTGGTCCTTTTTTTAATCGATCACATTGCTATATTTTAGTTGTTTTATCCGGATTTGATAGACCGAAATAAGGCGCCAAGTTATTCTGTTTCAGTAGATAAAGAAGAGAAGGATTTTTGTGTCATACGTTTTTCTGCGGGTCCTCCTTACGAAGTTTGTATTATTACTATTATTATGATATTATTGTGGTGGTTATTATTATTATTAGGATATCGCCTTTAAAATTGTTAATCGTGAATGGGAATTTTCTCATAAAAGAGGTTAAATATTCTTATCATTATATTTATTATGAAAAATATCCCCTACATCTATGATAATTTTTTATATGAAAAAAAGGTTTTCGTTGTCGTTATGAAAAAGGAGTTTTTCAACTTTGGTTTCATTTTAAACGAGACCGCTATCGACGATAATAATTTTTTTATAATAATAATAAAGCTTTATTTTGTTATTTTTTTTAGTGTTAAGAAGATTTAATATTTATTTTCATACAAATAAATTTCTAATAAATAAAATAAATACTTTAAAGAAAATAAAAAATTTTAGACCAAATGAAGGTGCTATTTTTTTTAAGCTTGAGGTTAAAGATATGTCATGTGCAAAAAAAATTCATTAAAAATTATTACCATGAAACTGCTAATTCTGAGAATATTATTGATTGGTTGGTAATACTGTGCTTAAAACACTATTGGTCAACTGAGTTATTGAATGAGTGATGCAAAAAAACACTAGCTTTCGTTTATAAGCTATCATCGAAGGTTTTGTATCAGGTGATATATAGACTAAAACGTCATTGTTCTCGGGAGCGGTCTTAAATTTTAGCTTGCAATTGCTAGGTATTAGTCCCTCTATGACTTTTTCAATCCCCTTAATAGTATTAATTACTACGGCTGTTAATATATACCCGCCGCTCTGTTTCGATTGTGTTTAAGAAAATGAAATCTGCCATATTTTTTTTAACTGTTACATAATAGCATAAAATTTTTTTTATTTCTTTAGCTATCATGGACGTTAACTTTTATCGTGGGCGGATATGCTTTTACTAAGTAGAAGTTTGTAAGGTATTTTTCTAATGCAGAAGAATCTAATTCCTTTGTTTGATATATTCTGCTTCGCATACGGATTTTAAAAATTTGCTTTCCATTGAATATTAGATTTCAAGTAAACGCATATTTCGCCACCTTAATATTTGTTATTAGAAAGAAAGTGTAGATGTTTCGGTTTAAAGTAAATATTCTATCACTTTTTTTTTAAAAAATGTATTACATTTATGACCTATAGCCTATGCCTGGCCCGCTCTTTTGCTTAGTAATTCCCTAATTTTTGTCGTATTGTTCACTTAAAGTTTGATAACCTTTGACTAGTTTGGTTTACGTAGCTTAAATGTAGTATTGTATTTACTAAGTGTGTTTATATTAATTCATATACCGAAACTTCAGTATTAAATTTTTTGGTGGTTGAAGATCAAGTTATAATGATTATGAATACTATATAAAGATCTTTGCCGTTATCTCATTTAGTCTTATTCTTTTTAAATGTCTTTTAAAAAAGCTTTTGCGTTATTAAGAATTTTACAGTCACTCATAGATATACCAACTATATTGTTTTCTATTATTAATTATGCAAACATAAAAACTTTATTTGCAACTAATAATATTTCTGTATCCTAAGATTTAGGTCTTTATAAAAAGGACTAGCGTATATTTTAGCTCATATTCAGAAATACTACTTGTATCACACGCTTAACATATTGTTAATCCTGTCGCTAATTTAGAAAGATTTTATGTAAAGATTTAAACGAAAATAGATTGTATATGGATATTTATAATTTTTGAGATAGCCAAAAGAAGTGTAGAGATGACATAATTTAGGTAAAACGTGTTTACTTTTATTTTAAAAGTTAATTGCAAACTAAAAATATAACCACTCTCACTGAGACCAGCGGTTTTAGTTATATATAGTGATATGATGTATCATGAAAAAAAAGTTATAACAAAATAATTAAAATTAGTTTACAAAACACAATATAAAGATGACTCGGTATTTATTTAAACTTAGATATTTCTATGGCAAAAATGTTCTTTCTATTTAAAGTATATAGAGATGGTTACAAAGGAGCAACTAATTTTACCATTTTCTTAATTTCTTTTCGCCTTTTATTTCTTTTTAATTTTGCAAGGTTTATCGAGTTTGATAATTTCTTTGCCTAATGGGCTCTCAGATATTTTATTAAGTCAAATTTAACTTTATCAAAGCTTTAATTACTTCCTTTTTAGTAAAACAATTTATTTTTTAGGGTTTCTTTTTTGTATAAAAATAAAAGTTTTCGTTTGTGCTTGTGCATCGTTATTTAAAAACTTTTTAGTATTTGTTTGAATGTGTTTAGGTGTTTTCATAGAAAACATCAGGTTGCCGTCTAAAAACCTCTAGCTATTAGTCTAGCTTATAATAGTATATACTCTTCAATAAAAACGTTAGGTGCGGTAATGATTGTTTTAATGGGCTAATGAGGAAAAGTGACCAAATACAAAAGGATATACAAAAGTATAAAATTGGAAAAAAAAAACGGACAAAAATTTAATATTGGTATCTTTATCGCTTTAATTTAAGTATATTCATGGAAACCTTTAGAGGTTAGTATTTTAAAAACTTTAAATATAGGAATTTTAGTGGTCTTCTATCCGCAGTGGAAAGTTATAACATGTAGGACCAAAGTTTTTTATATAGTATAACGATTTGTGTACCTTTTTTAACATTATATGCCTTAAGTTTTATAATGGTAAAAGCTCAATTTTTGCTGTTATCTAGTATTTTTAGTTAAAGGATTTGTATATTGTATTGGTATAAAGTTAACTAATAAACCCGGCAACGCATCCTATTTACTATTATCCTTTTATTTCTTCTCGCTTAAGAGTTAAAATAAATTTTACCTTTAAAGTAATCGAATTGCTCTACAGAAATACAAGAGCAGTATTTAAAAAGTCAACCTAAACGGAAATTTAATGCAAAAAAACTTAAAAAAGAAAGTTGAAAAAGAAAATTAAAGAGCAACGCAACGGGTAACTGAAAAAACGAAGTATTGTGTGTAATTATTGACCTTTCTCTTACCGCGTCATAAGACGCTAAGTTTAGTTAAATAGCTAAGCGGGCAAGAGCATTGTAGTAACAAGGAACTAAAGCTACCCTTTAAATATACAGTCTGCAGTTCGGTGCTTTCTATTATGTAATCCATGTTTCTTGATACAGCTTTGTGCATTTATTGATTTAAAGTCTTTATAATGTTTTATGCAAAAGCAATTATAATATTTGTCTACGATATAAACGAAAGTAAAAAGATTATAAGGTTGGACTAATTAAAGTCTCACAAGGAGTCCGTGGACTCCGTGGAAACATGATGCCTGTATTTCATTGGACCTTGCTTACCAAAAAAGTTGCGATTTTACTTAACTTAAAGGCCTTAGAGTGGTTCTTAACAGTTTAAAACTAGAATATATTTTTTTCTCATCGATTATAACAAAATTCTTTAACTTTATGGATAAACTAAAAACGAAGATTTGTACTCTTCAAACTAAAGAGTTAAATATGCTCTCCTCTTTGAGGAATCTCGAAGCACAAATAGAGGCGTTTGAAAGAAGGCACGGACTCAAAGCTTTTCTTTAGTTTTTTTTTTTTTTTTAATAGTATTTTTTATTCTAGTTATATAAAAGATGCAGAAAAATATAAAATTTTAATGTGCTACTATAATAAAAAGTTAGTAAGTTTTTTATATACTTTCATTTTTTTTTATTAATTTTTTTATAAAGTTATGTTACTTAAATATAAAGTAGTTTTTTTGTCTCTGAAATAAAAACATCATGTCGTTTTACTTAGAAACACACTCACCAAATTAAACTTAGTATGAAAATTTATTTCAGTGTTTTTACATTTCATTTCTTGTTTTTATTTCCCAGTGGATGTGAGGAAAAAGAGCACTTAAAAACTGAATTAAATGATCCTTCTTATAATCATCTTTTCTCCTTTCTTCCACAACTTCACCTTTGGTATTATTATATTTAAATAAAAAGTTTGAGGAATTTCTTTTTTGGAATTTCTTTACATTACTTTCTTTTACTGACAATGTTTAAGTTTTAAGTCTTTTTTAACTACCTTAGTAAGGCTTTAAAAAAAGTTTTTAGATTTTTTTTGTACTAGTATTAAAAGCAAATATTGTCTGATTATATACGTTTATAAGTTGTTATTTGTTTACAGCTTGTTTTAATAGAGTCTCTCTTATAAAGAAACTAACGAGACTTATGAGGGATGAAACTTCTAAAATTGTTATCAAGTGTTATTACAATATTTTATAAACAAACTTTTATAGTCTCTTGTCTTTTTATCATTTATACTTACTGTAGACAGTTAACGATGTTTACATGATAAAAACAAAAAGATTTTATTCTTTTATGAGTCTGTGTATATATAAATATTTAAAATTTTATTTTTTTTTTTAATAATTTTTAGGTTTATAATTGTAAAAGTCAGGTTTAAAAATATATATAATATAAAAATAAGTTAATTTAAAATTAAACCGAAAAGCTGGAAACATATAAATATAAAAAAGCCAATAAAAAGAAAGAATATGTACGAATGCCCTCAACATGGCCTATTTTTCTTATAATTTGTAAAGAATGAGCAAGTATTTACTAACAGGCGTCCCAGCGAATAATGCTTTTTCAGTCTAATTTAGCCATTATACGCTCTTTACTTTTTAACTAGAGCAGCCTTTAGGAATTAAAATTCTTTAAAAATGTTAAAACACCCATCTTAATATTATTCTAGCTTTTAAGCTGTTAGAAAAAATATACTTAGTCATTAATAACTTTAATTTTGCAGGTTAAAAGTTATATCAAATAGGTTTGTCGAAAGCTCCATAATAATTAGTTGGATAGTTTTAGAGCCACCTGAAAGCTTGAAAAGAAGGCTGCATGCGCTATTCCATATTAATATTAATTATACTAGAGTTGTACCCTCAGTTATTCAGCTCTCAATATATACAGTAACCAAAAATTTTCAACCCTTTCAAGGTGTTTATTTTCTTATTGGGGCCCCCAGCCGTATAGTTCGTCAAGCTAACTGTAGCGTTCATATAATAAAATGGAAATAAGAAGGAACCAGGTTATAAGATTCTGCAACCTTACCCAAAAGGCAGGGATGTGAGAATTGGGTGTGTTGTCCACAAAAATATGGCACCACCTAATTGTTAGTTCGTATAATACATGCAAAGATATGGTAACGCGCGCGCAAC